GCGTCTTTCTTCTCCTAGGATGGACGTCAGCGTCTTCGTCCGATTAATCGGCCTGGTCGCTTGTCTTCAGGTTAACCTTTTCGATGCCGTCGCCCTCGGTCTCCTGTTCGTGAGTAGGAGGTTTCTCCGATTCGTTCAGCGTCGCGTCAGGATTTTCTTTTCCGGAGTCCTTTTTCGGTAAGTTACCCTTCTCGGTTCTGGGACGATCCGTAGGAGCGCCAAAGTCGATCCTCCTTCCGCGGATCTTAGTAGTTCCGCGGGGGCGAATTGCTCGGGCTTTCGCGGTTAGGGTTTCTACCCGTTTTTGTTAAACTCGGAAAGCATCTTCTCGAGGGTCTCGGCGTTAGCGTTTGTAGCGTTGGCCGCATACGCACCTTGTGGTGGTGTTGTTTCAACGTTATCGCGTTCGTTGCGAGTTTGGTTGTCACCAGTCATCGTTTCTTCGTTGGACATGTTGCGGCTTCGGTGCAAGATAGATCCGACCCCCCCCCCCTCCTTCTAGCGCCAAACTGTGGGAACCGAAATCCACTTACTGTCAATAAATCGTAAAAAAGGAAACTTCAGGAAAACCCTAAGTTTCCCGAGGAACCGACTATCTGCAGAACCGCACAATGAAGATTAAGAAAACGATAAACGTAGAATATTAAAAGAATAAACGAAATTGAAAGCAAAGAGGTTCTTATTCCAAATCTACGTAAGAACTGGTACAAAAAGAGCAGCAGAAAACTTAAGAACGAAAAACCCTAATTGAGACGCAGCTCGCTAACAGAAAACGGAAATATTCCTAAATGCTAGTTTTGGTGGTGAGAGCTCTGGAAATCGTTTCCCAGCTTCTGCCCTATGCCTCCCCCTTATATACTCCTTAGGCGATTTTGATCTTTCCATTTCGCTCGAAACCGAATATATCGGAAACTTTCCATATATGTCGATCCTTCCTTTTCTTCCGCGGAAATCTTCTATTTATCTTCAAACTTGCCTTTTATCTTCCGTCTGCGAGTAAACCGTCAAAACGTTATCGTATCTTTGGTTTTGATTTCGTTAACGTCGCGAGATGGGTTTTTATCGTGTTTTAGGACATTTCGGTCCGTTTTACGATAAAAACCGTTTTTCGACTTTAACGAGACCGTTTCCTGATCCGATGCCGTTTTTTATGATTCTCTCGACGTTTTTTATTAAAAACGCGTTTTTAATAATCTTAACGAAGAACCTCGGATAAATCGTATAGTTTAGGCGATGTTCAGTGTTTTGCTTAACCATTACCGTTTTATACGATTTCTTCGAGTTCTTTCCGGGAAATAGGGGTTTTACGGTTTTTATCGTAGAATTCAAACGATAAGTCGGATCAAGACGAAACGAGAGACATTTTGGCCGTGGTTCAGAATGTGACCATGTAGAAGGACGTAAGGTTCGAATCGGGGCCGCGGGAGATCCGGGAGACCTCTAGTTCGCCAGCAGGCGAACTAGTTGGTGAGCCTCTAGTTCGCCTGCTGGCGAACTAAGCCAGCCTTGCTTAGTTCGCCAGCAGGCAAACTAGTTGCGACTAGTTCGCGCTTCGTGGCTGTTTCGGTTTTTCGCGGTTTTATAAAAACGATCTTTGAGTTTTATAAAACGGCTTCTCGTGTTTTATAAAACGTTTTTCTCGAGTTTTATAAAACGATCTTCGAGTTTTATAAAACGATTTTCGAGTTTTATAAAATTGCTTCTTGAGTTTTATAAAACGATCTTCGAGTTTTATAAAACGGCTTCTTGAGTTTTATAAAACGATCTTCGAGTTTTATAAAACGATCTTCGAGTTTTATAAAACGGCTTCTCTAGTTTTATAAAACGATCCTCGAGTTTTATAAAACGGCTTCTCGAGTTTTATAAAACGATCTTCGAGTTTTATAAAATGACCTTCGAGTTTTATAAAACGGCTTCTCGAGTTTTATAAAAACGATCTTTGAGTTTTATAAAACGGCTTCTCGAGTTTTATAAAACGATCTTCGAGTTTTATAAAACGGCTTCGCGAGTTTTATAAAACGATCTTCGAGTTTTATAAAAGGGTTCTCGAGTTTTATAAAACGATCTTCGAGTTTTATAAAACGACCTTCGAGTTTTATAAAACGGCTTCTCGAGTTTTATAAAAACGATCTTTGAGTTTGATAAAACGGCTTCTCGAGTTTTATAAAACGATCTTCGAGTTTTATAAAACGGCTTCGCGAGTTTTATAAAACGATCTTCGAGTTTTATAAAACGGCTTCGCGAGTTTTATAAAATGATCTTCGAGTTTTATAAAACGGCTTCTCGTGTTTTATAAAACGATCTTCGGGTTTTATAAAACTATTTCTTTTGTATTTTTGCGGGGAATTTTGGCTATTGATTCCGTCGTAGTGATTTTGACCCCAACATTGTAGCAACCGCTTTCCCCTTTTCTTCCGCTGACAATCTCTTTCGTGGAAACATCTTACCGACGGCGAGCGTATATATTTTACAAGAAAGCTTAGAGGGAGAAACTAGAGAGAAGGGAGAGAAGGAGTACATGTAGAAACGGAGAAGTGATGAGAATGAAAAGAGGAAGGGTGTTTATAGGCAAGGAAGAGGGGCGCAATTCTCGAAGGCATTAATTAGGCCTACTCGAGCCTAGTTGAGCCTAAAAGCCGCCCGCAACTGTTCACATTCCGAGTTAAATGGGCTTCAATTCCCAAGAAACTTCTAGACCCCGCGACTGTTCACGTTCTCGTCCGAGCTCCGAGCTAACGACCACGAACGCGCCAGTAATGAACTCGAGGGTAGCATTAACATATGGGATGAGCCTCGAGTCGGAAAGCTGCTATTTGGGAAGACGACGTAACGCATTAACTGACATGGTTATTCTATGGGCCAACATTGACGAAATCCGCTCCGACTGAGACTATAACTCGGTAGCGGATCTGGGGGACTTACTAAAGGTTGTGGAATACACTTCCTCACTAGGCCCATATAATAACGAGCTCATACCAAACGAGTTCAGGCCCAACAAAAGATCTCTCCGTTAATCAGCGACTGATTGAGTTAGCTTGGCTAATCTCCGCAATTAGGCGAGTTAAAGAGGTTTAGGCAAAGTGCTTAAACTAGCGGGCCGACCAAGGTCCATTTGGCGAAAGCCCTCGGAGCCGCGATGAGTCCGCTAGGTTAAGGCATAAATACTATAAAAGGGAGAGAAGAGCTAACGAGGAAAGGATCCAAAAATTACTTTCACTCACAAGGCGGCTAGAACTAGGGTTTTTCACTCCTTTACTTATTTTCCGACTTGTACGGTACGGCCGAGCTCCCCGCGAGACTCCGCCTTGCCTCTCATTTCCTTATTTGTAACCGAACTCTCTTATCAATAAAACTACACCTTTGACTCTAAATAGTAAGAAAACGCCTTTGATATAACCCACCGACGAGTCATGTCACTCATTAACTGAACAGACCAAACTCGATTCAAACAATTAGTAGATAGTTTCTTTAACTATGTCTCTAATAAATAAAACATAATTACTTTTATGTAAATAAATTTAAATGAAGAAAAGAGAACTACCAATTAGGAACTGACACAGTGGCATAATCATTGCTCATGCCTGCAGAAACGTCTCCAGCTAAAGAAGCGTTCTACGTTTTCTCTACATTCTCTCTCTTGCATCTTGTTTTTTTTAATATTAGTTATGGACGGAGACTCTCCGTTTTTTTTTTCTGCATGCTCTTAGAATTGGTAAACACCCCATACCTGTTTCTTTGGTATTGGCTCAAAATCTTTCATCACTCTTTTTTCTTCTTCGTTGTCCATGGTGACCTCAACAGATTCGGGACTTCCATCTCAATGATTATTTCCCCTTTTTATTTCTGATTCGTGACCCTTTTATGTGATTCTGGTTGGTGAATTTTGCTCAACTCGGATAATGCAATAAACGAAAGTATGGCTATGTGGATAATAATTATGAGTAGTGTGTATACAAACAAAGTTCATATTTTGTCATTTTTATATAGGCATCGGTAGTGATTTGTGATTTGTTTTATATCAAAGTGTTGTGTTTGAAATTGGCTTCAATATTGCAGCTGTTCTAGAGACAGATGCTTACCAGCAGTTGAAGGATGATTGTCTATCACTCAAGTCCGAGCTTCTGAAGGAGGTGGCTGGTTACGAGGATGACAGCAACAGCAGGGGATGGGCCAAGTCTCAGAGCGTGTGGGCTCAAGTATCAGACAGCGGTGGAGATACCAGCAGCAGACATGTTAGACAACGAACCACCTAGAGCCTCGATGTGCATTTTCTCAGGTACATAGTTTGCTTTTCTTTATCCATTTTTTTCAATGTTTTACAAGGTTTTGTGGACGGGCTACTAGTTTGTAATATGAATCTTAACTCTATGATGGTGAAATATGAATCAACCTTTCACTTCTGTAGCAGTGTCATATGTATCCTTGTGCTCTCTGTGCACATGTTGTAATGACTATAGTAATAGCTCCATAAAAAGCTCTGTTTTTATATAAGGAAATGTAACATTCCTCATCGGTTTTTCTATTGTAGTGGAAGTCTTCCGCTCGAATCCATTAGGAATCTTGATTTGGCATTATGAATGAAAAAGAGAGCAAAAAAAAAAAAAATTTAAGAATCTCAATGAGGTTCTTTCATTAGAAGATAAAAAAATAATTAGACTAACAAAGATTCTTAACTTTTCATATCATCAAATTAATTACTATGTTTTTCATTAAAACCCATTAGGGTCTTTAACCAATGGACTTGCTCTAAAGATGGCAAAAAAAAAAAAAAGCTCAATAGTTGGAATCAAAGAGAGCGAAAATGATATGTCAAAAGACTAGTGATGTTGAAAGGTAAAACAAATGCATGAACTCAACAGATAACATATTGTAAATAAAATCACGTTTATTTAATGTTGTCTTTTTAATTATTGTAAATTTTGCACCTGATACATCATCTGTATAACTCTATAGAGTTGTAAGACATTAGACATATAGCTAACAAATCTCAGATCAGTCTTCTAGAAGTTAATCCTTCCATCAAAAGTCTGCTTAAATCCCCAATTCATTGGTGCAACATTCATAAATTGCTTACTAACCCCATCACTTGTTTGAACCCTGAATGATAAACCTTGTCCTGTCAATACAATATTGGTGGTCCAGTGCTGTCCCCAATTTTTACTCATGTTTATCCATCCGGTCTTGCTTCCTTTAATCTGCATGGCATTAATATCTCCGGCTCCTCCTACATTGTACGGCAAGATCATTAAAAAATACGGGTTTCCGCTGGTTTCGAATTTGACACCACCTTTCTTCGTACAAGGAACACGTCTGTATCTAACCGGGACAACCCCAGCTTTGTACTTGGCGATCTTGAGGAACATTGGCATTGAGAGATCAAAATGTTTTTGTGGTGGGTTGCACCATATGTCTGTCGTCTTGGAGTAATTTGCTGGACATTTATTTGTAGCCGTGATTATAATGGATCCGGGCAAACACCATTGCGGATCACGAGTGCACATGATCTGGTAACAAGCCCCGCAAGTGTAGCCTTCGTTGAAGAGCGCTGGGCTCAACGCCGCCGTGGCTAGACCATAGCCCTGTTTAAATAGATCACCGTATCCACAAGCTCCCACTATTGAATATATATGTAAATGTGAGAACGTAATAGTTAATAAATATTATGTATTTGATTGTTTGTTTATTCTTGTTTTTTGTTTTTGCGTTTGCGTTTAAATACTGAAAACGCAATACGTAAATGAAAGGAAACACTATGTTGGTGGTTGCGGTATACTACATTGTAAGAATATTTTATGCAGAAAAACTAACATATTTACTTTTAAAAATATACTAGATCATGATCCGCGTAGATGCGCGGATTTTATTTTTTCAGATGTACTCTATATAATTTAGTTTATATAGTTTCGAGTTTGTCTAATTCGATTTTACGTTTAAAGAACAATATCAAAACTGTTTTTTGGATTAATAGCATTAAACAGTATATTATATAGATGCAATCGTGTAGTGAAAACAGTAACAGTACGTTTGTTTGAAGTACAAAAATAAATTCAAAGTTAACTGTTTGCATTAAAAAAATAAGTTGAGACTTTAATTACTTCTTATTCTGATGTTAATAATTATCTAAATTTTTTAACATAATATACAAATTTCTAGAATTTTTGGCCTTAGCCTTTATTTTGTAGATTATTTCAAATTCAAACTTAATTTTGGTCTTAACTTTGTAAGTACATATATTTTATGATGAAACTTCCTAAATAACTTAACAAATATTTTGGTAATTTGAAAGATTTTTTTTTAAAATATTTTTTCATTTAAATTGATAAGTATTTTTAAATTCAATCCGGACCGTAGTCAAACCGGTTATCCGATAATTCAATTTTGATTTTTTTAAATATCCATATTTAAGTAATCACTTAAACTCGAGAATAACAGATCAAACCGATGGATAACTGATATGTAATATTTAAACCTGTAAAATAAGTTTATTTTCATTGTTCTATATATTATTTTATTTATTTAATTTATCTAAATAATTTGAAAGAAAATTTTGAAAAAATATTAAAAAGAGTGAGATCTAATATTCTGTATTGTTTGGACATAAGATTAATGATATTGTTGTTTGGAAATATGGATAGTAGTACAAAGAAATGAGTATATTGTTTTGAAACATATATATAAGTGCAAAAAAATGAGTATATTGTTTGGAAACATATATAATAGTACAAAGAAATAAATATAGTATTTGGAAGAATGGATAGTAGTTTTAAGAAAGAAATACTAATATTTTAATATATGTTTAACTATAAAATAGAAAGATGAAATAATTTATAAAAAAATGTTACGTTCATCCTAATGTTTCTCTTTTAATAAGATAGATGATGATGCGATCACATATGCTGAAATTAGCGTTTAAAAGTACCTGAGCCTATACTGTATTTTTAAAAAGGGGCCTATTCGATCAGTGTTTAATTAGTCAAAAAAATTCTTGTGCAAAAGAATAATTTTGAATATATTTTTACCGTGTACAATGTCATGAAACATGAGTCCTTAGCAGATTGAACCAGTGCCATTAACGGAACATATTATTTCATAATAAACGATTTCAATAATCAGATTCTAAAAATATACTTGTAACTGAAACTTACTTTGAGTTCCTCCACCATTGATGTCACCGTAAAATGTGGCTCGTGCGTCATACCAACCATTGTTGAAGGCGTCGGTTCCGGGTGCCTCAGCTCCATCACCAGTGGGTGCTTCAGCTCCATCACCAGTGGGTGCTTCAGCTCCATTACTGTAGCTCATGGGGACGAACCATATCGCTATTACCATCATCAGAACTTTTACATACATCATTTTTCCTAAAATGAGTTTCATGCTTCTGTCTCTTCGTAACTATACTTTTAACTTTAATTTGATTGATGAATAATATTAATGAGACTTGTGTATATATATATATATATATATATATATATATATATATATATCTATCTGTGCAAGGAAGTATCTATGATCATATTGGTTAGGTCAAATATGTTTTCAAATGTGCCCATATATGGCCAATGCCAAATATATATATATGGAAATATATATATATATATATATATATATATATATATATATATATATATATATTTCCATATATATATATTTGGCATTGGCCATATATGGGCACATTTGAAAACATATTTGACCTAACATGATTGGATATATATATATATATATAGTTGTTACTGTAAGAATTTAGCTGTAAACTTTGTAGCGTCAGGGTACTGACATGATTGGATAAAGAAAAATTAACACCTTAAGATATATTTTGACTTTTCAATTACAAACACATATTGCATGAGAAACACATTTGCTGTGTTATTTATCTTTTATATCCTTCCTCTTAGTTATGTTTCCTTCTAATTAAATATATAATTAGATTCTGTTCCGCGTCTTACAAGCGCGAGATTATTTTTTATTGACAAATTTATTAAGATATATGTTTCTTCATTAAAATATTTAGGTACAGATGTTTTGTTTTGTTCACTTGCAGATTTATATTTTTTGGTTTTCGGTTTAATTTCCATTGGAGTGTAGTTTGCTTCAAGAAATATAGGTGGGATTGTTTGTTTGGTTTTAGTTTTTGGTTGTTTTTTTTTTTTTTGTACCAGTGCCATTAACGGAACTTAAATGGTAAATTAGATTTTAATTTTAGATTTTTTGATTTTCAGTTTTTGGGTTTAGTTTGTTTGGGTTTAGTTTCCGTTTTAGATTTATATTTTAGATTTTTTGAAAAACTAAATGGTGAATTAGATTTTAACTTTTGGTTTAAAATTATAGATTAAATTAATAAATAAAATAATTTATAATGATAATATATTTATTTTAAACATAATAAAAAATAACATGTTATCAGTAAGAACAAACATACAAAGATAGTTATATAAAATTTCAACTAATATTTTTAATTTATCAAATATTGGAAATTTTTATACTGTTTTCCTTTTAAAATGATCCATATTTTTTTAAAAAAAAAATCAAAGATACATTTTTAAATTTTCATAGTATTTTTATTAGTTGATAGTTGTAAATATGGATCATTAGAAACCAAATGAGTATTATATAATTACTTTCTATTATAAATAAAATAAATTAAGATCCAATTTTTTTTTGTTTTGTTTCCTAATAATGTGCACACATATTTCTATGGTTATTTATCTATAAGTAATTTAGATAAAATTAATTGAAATATTAAATTTTACAATATTTTTTCTAAATTGCGTATAATTTCTAGACATAAAACTTTTTTATTTTATATAATATGATATTTTACTAAAATCTGAGTATAAAACTAATAAAAATATTTTGAAAGAACAAAACGAAAAAAAAGTAACGTGATGCGCTGAAAATCTTAACAAAAGTGGTTTTTTGGTTTCTCTTTAAAAAAGTAGCAAAATTTAAGAAAAAATAAATTCCTTAAACTATAGGGAAACTATTTTTTTAAACAACTGATTGTCTAAAAATCGTTTAAAAAAAATCAAAAACAAAAATTAATTCAAAAATCTGTAAACAATCATTAGGTATATATGATAAAAGTACAGCCATAAAAATCTGTAGACCTTTTTTTTACCATCAAGTATATATGATAAACATTTTAATATTGTAGTTTGAAGTCTGTTGTTAAATATTGTATAAACCTTTTTTGTCAGCATCAATATTGTATAAACTTATCTATATTTAATAAATGATCTATATTATATATATAAGGTATATATATCGTACCTTTGGATCAGGATAAGCGTGATTATTTTATATTTTTATAGTGAAATAATTTGTTTACTTTGATAAATTGATTAATATGTAATTTAACATAAGATAATTTACAGGAAACCGCATGTATTCTCTAAGTTGATTTCTTTCCTTGCAAAATTTGGTAATAGACATGGTCCATTCGGTCATATGGTTGCAAAGAGAGTCCAACAGTGTTATATTTCCCTTTGTCAGCACAACTGAAAGCGACCTTGGTTAGAACAAATCGGCTCCACGACTGCCCTCTACTCTCCTACTTGCATAGAGGAAGAGCTAGCGTATACAGCCAAGTAAAATATCTCTCAAAGCTACTTCCCAAGATGTATATATCCCACTGAAATGGGCATTGCTGAAGACTTGTCCGGAGATGGAAATGAGTTTAAACCATCAATTGTTTATGCTGCATAAGAGCACCATTAACCTTGCCTCTTAGGTGAGTTCTTAAGAGGTGGGTCTCACTATTTTGATAAAAGCCAGCTTTTCCTCCTTTTCTGCAAGAGGCGACTTTGCTTGAGTTCTTTTAAATCAAACACACACAAAAAAAATAAAAAAAAATAAAAACCCTTTAGCGTTAATCATGCTCTAACAACTTCTATGGCCGTAATCAAACATTTTGAAGTCTAGTCATTGGTTAAAATTATCCTCAATAGGGTGGTGGGAAATATTAGTGACTTGAGAGTGGTCTTTGACACAGGATCGAAGACAATGCTCTGAGCAATGTACAATTAATAAAATTTCATCTGCAACTATCAGCTCCAATGATTCCACATTAGCTATGTATTGTCTCCAAGAGTGTACTTCAACATGAATCTGCTAATTTTTAAAGGTATCACATCAAAAGACAACGCATCAAAACCAAGATCTAGACTATATGAGAGAGGCTTCAAACTCGACCAACTAAAGAACTGTACAGTGTAACTACTAATGAGTTTCTTTATCGAAAGATAACTGAGGAGAAGGGTGTATGGTGAATCCAAATTTATACTTGTTTACATAATCAACACACATAAAAGTTTTAGCAACATAGACCCCAAACCCAGAACCAGTTCCACCACCAACATCATCGAACACCAAGAATCCTTGTTTCCCAATAAAGTTGTCTGCAAGTTTTCTCACATGGTCGAGGTAAATGTCCACAATCTTCTTTCCAACTGAAATTATATAAATTTAGAGAACTAATGGTAAAATGTTAAGAAAGTACTACAAAACAGGAAATTCCTTTCTCACCACCTCTTGTGAGTTGTCAACATCTTCTATCCAAGAGATAAACAGCTCGGGATGAATGATAGACCATGATTTTGACCCGCTTTTGGTCATATTTTCAATATGTTTTTATTATAAATATATATGTTTTGGAGTCTATTAGGTATGTTTTCAGGTTCAGGAGCATTTTCTGGTAAAGTGATGATTTAGGTGCCTTTTGGTGCTTAAAGAAGATTTTTCCAAGATGACTATGAAGATCCGATATAAGAGATACATATCGATCGATACACACCCTGTGTAATCGATCGATGACGCTTCCGTAGAAGTTGAAGTCGAGTTCCTCCATCGATCGATGTACACAATGTACCATCGATCGATATAGAACGTGATGAGCAAGATTTATTTGGCCAACTTGAAGCCCAAGTTCTCACCAAATTACAAGACTGCCCCTGACGAGTTTTTTAACCTAATTGTACTCCATATTTATACCTATGCCTATGAGCCTTTAGAGACAAGAAGTTTTGAACCAAGTTTTGTATTCTATTCTATTTAGCAATAAAAGCATTTTCTTTTCTTCTTATTCTTTTGCTATGAATCTCTTGGCTATATCTGAGTAGATTCATATGTTAGATTTAGGGTTCAAATAGTTATGAGGGATTAGCCCCAACTATGGATTGTTGACTTGTTATATTCATTATCCAAATGAACCCTAATGCTTACTCTAGACTTGCTACCTAGAGTATTGATTTTGGAGTGACTAATCTAATAGTCATCTTCCTGAAATCATTTGGCTAAACTCAGACTTTATTAAGGCACGTGCGATAGCCGGTCTTGTAGAAATTCTCGGGTGAACAATAGTTCGATCCGATCTGATACTTAATATCGATCGATACTCTTCTAGGGTATCGATCGACGACAGCTTATATCGATCGAACCTGCGATAGCAACATCGATCGATGCAGTCGGCAATTAGATCAATGGACGAGTCTAACTAGCGACAGCTATAGATTTGTCTAAGGATTGACGTTCTCATATATTTGCAAGCAATTCGTGAAGACATCTATAGATCTATAATCCTGATTTTCTGAATAGTAACCTTGAATCTAACTATTTTCCTTCATTGTTTTCAAACCAAAACCTATTCTCTTTAGCAACTTACCATTGCTACTTATTTTATTTACTGTTTTAAACCTTTTTCAACCTAGCTTAATCACATATGATTATATCTTTTGTGTCTCTAGTTCCTTGTGGATTCGATCCCTAAGTACTACGATTGAACCTCTTTTGATGAGAGTAATTCACTCCTTAGGGTAATTTGAGTGATATCAAATTTGGCGCCGTTGCCGGGGAACTAAGATCACTATTAGATTTAATCTGATTCAGTCTAGGTTTTTTGTTATTTTATTTTTCTATCTTTNGCATTCGCAAGGACATACGCTCCGCATCGATCGATACCAACATAATCGTATCGACCGATACGCCCTTTCCACCGACGATCAACAACCGTTCGTCAACCGACACCTTCACCACCTCATCGATCGACATCAACAACCGTTCGTCGACCGATACCCCTCACTTGACATCGATCGATACACCACATCTGATATCGATCGATACTAACCGGCGAGACATGGTAGCGCCTATGATTCTCATACCCGATGAGAATGGAGACCTGCGTGATCAAGATGGTCACCTGCGAAATGCAGCAGGTCAGAAGCTGAATGATCAGAAGGAGATCATTATTGAAGAGACTGCACCTACATGCATCATTCAACCTGTAGAGGAGACCAGAACTTTGGCTGACTTCAACCGACCCGATCAGTTCTATTCAAACCGATCAGCCATCCTACCTCCTGCCATCCAGAGAGGAGATTTTG